TTCCTCACAGCAGTGAAATGAAAGGTTAGTAGTAATCCAGTATCAGCCAGCTTGGGAAAGTAGCTGACTCTGGAGAGCAAAAAAACTCAGGAAACTCTAAGTCCTACTTGAGCTATAATATTGACTGCTTGGGAGTACTTTAAAATTCTGTACTCAAAACCTTACCCATTCTTTCAGTGCTACCTACTCTGTGTCACTCTTCAAAGTGAGGAATGAGTTTTATAGCCCTATCACATTCCATTATTCCTTGACATTCAGGTGCTGACAAATCAACAGATCATAGATCTAGCTTAGCTTGTCTTGCTTCTTTAAAAATATCAAATAAAAACCCATCCACAAGGACCTTACTGAGCACCAAAACAGTGTGCTGTTAGTGAGTTTTCTGTCATAAATGAACCTATAAATGTTGCCTGAACTGATTTAAGACCTCGGGATCAGTGTCACCACCAATTAATTCTGCAGAATGGATATTTTGGAGGTTTATTCATCTCTTTAGTAGGGGCTGGGGTAGGATTTACACATAGGGTTAGTTGTGCAAGAGAGGAATACAGAGCAATCTGGTCACACAGCAGGCACAAAGGAAGCTACTGTGAGAGCGTCCAGCAGAGGGGCTTTAACTCACCAAGGCCTCTTCAGCAGCCTTTGAACTGATGTAAGATGAAAGTTTCCCAAGAGCTTGTGAGAGGGACGCCTGGCTCTGGGAATTGGAGGCCAGTTTGTAGAGTACATACACATTGAAGGCATCCTGTTATAGAATCATCAAGATTACTAATCTGAATGTAATCCTTCAATTGTGAAGAACGGGAAACTCTATATGTTACGGCAGACACTAATGAGGACTTGTGTGTGTGTGTGTGTCTATTCTAGTTAACAAGAATATGAAACACAGAAAACGGTTAAAAAGGCCTGAATGACAAGAAGACATAAGTATCCGACAGCATTTGTGGAAATGTTCCCAAAAACACAAACCTTTTCCAGCTGTGAAAAATCTGATTTTGATGAGGAACTATTAAATACCGTAATTGAACAATGAAAAGAGGATTTTTAATTACAACTTGAAACGAACTGAAGAGATTTGATGTGCACAGGATGGGGGCAGGATGGGGACCTCTACAAAGCAGCTTTGTCAGGTGAAGTTAAACAGATACTACCCTGCGTGAGATACATTTAAAGGCACAGACACAGTTAGTGTACAGTTGGCAAAGAACCATCCACAGAATGTAGGTTAGCAGAGTAATCCTTTAGACAAGAGCAACCATGTCAGTAGGTTACAGAAAGGAAACCTTTTCTCAGTCAAAGAACTGGCACTTGTGTTTGCACTACTCTAGATTAATGTGCTTGTTGCTTGACAAAGAGCTCTGAATATTGTAATGCTTGCAAGGAAGGAATTAATTATGCAGGAATGCTAAAAGATAAAGATACAACATAACCCAACAAATCCACTGTAAATCAGGAAGACTGTAACGTTATAAACTTAATTAATAAGAATCTATAAAAGTGCAGCTCCCACTGGGGGGTACTAATATCTAGCTTACAGTCAAATAAGCTCAGCTGGACCCCCTAAAGCTCAGCCGATTAGGAAAATGAACAGGCTGGTTGGAAGGGGAGCGACCTTAGACTCTCCGACCTAACAAATACAAAGAAAAAAGAAACACTGTTGCTTTAAAGAAGACAAAACCATGGCTCTCACGACTGGTGCCTGTGTGGCAATAAAACAGTAAATCTGCATTCAAGAACGCCCGACACTGAGAGCCTACGTGTAAGCTCGCTTTATAGTCTGGATAGCGTGATTTCCTTACCCCGTTTTCCTGCAGGATCCACAGAAAGAGCTTTTCTTAATCTCCCACGCAGACAGATCCCACACAGGGCTGTAGCTTGGGTTCCGTGGGTCGCTCCTCGCAGCTGAACCGCTCCCTCTCAGGTGGGACGTCGTATCAGTGCGGCAGCCATTGAGACAAATGTGGGCCGCCGTGGAGGAGGTTTTCGAGTTGAACAATAAAGAGCAACACACCGCCTCCGGCCCTGGCTGTGTGCACCCGGCGTGACGGGCGGCCGAAGGGGGGACGTAGGCGGCACAGCAGCGCCACCCCGTGGACCTATGTGGAAATACTGAGGCTCACCATATGTGGTTACACTTCACTTTCTTCTAAATAACTCACGATTGGATAAAGTGTCAATTAAACAGACGAATAACAAATTAATTGCTTTGATTAGAAATGGACAGAATCTTGAATTAAGTTCACTGTTTCAGCGAATCATCAAAACAGGATCCAGAACCAAACACGACACGATTCGAACATTTCGTCACAATAATAATCGTCATTATCAGCATGTGACAACAAGTTAAGTGAAAACTTTTTTTTTTATACTTCCTTCTGCAACGTACTGAAAAGAGACGAGTAGAAAAGAGGCTGTACTAGCATGAAACATGTGAGTTTTATGGTTTTAATTCTTACCGCGTTACTGTGTATTTTACCACCAAGGCAGTCTTGGTCTCTGCTAAATGCCGTAAAGTTATCTAACTCGTTTACGTTTCGTAGTAAACTCCCACGCCTCTTGTCAAGATTGATAGGTGTTAACTTGATAAAAGTCAATTTTGGTCCCGAGATACTAATGCATTTTAAACCTGTGTCCGGAATGCATTTTTTTTATATGGGCGCTTCCATTATATTCGTGGCATTTTTTTAAAGCATAGCATAGCAATATACTCTTAGATAACTTGTTTGTTTGAAAGCCAGTGGGTGTGTATTGGAATGTATTTATCTATTGGTAGGATGTGCATTTAAATAATCACGTCTGCTGTAGTGAAATAGGCTACAATCCGGTTTTTAAAAAACTGCCAAAATCACTTTTGAAACAGTGAGAACAATGTCAGTAAATCAGGTAGTACTGTAGTGCTGTTGATTTGCGTTTTTTGACATGTTATGCGTTTTCATTTTTCCATTCAACTGTGTGCCCAAAATAGTCCACATAGGCTAAAAAACAAATCTTATGTATTGTTATTAGATATGGGTCCACTTTGCTTCTGTTATTGTTCTGGCACAGACCGAACTTGAAAATACATTTGTTAGGGAATGGCTCAGGATATAGGGACAGTCCTCTCAGATGCATATTAGCATGAGTTATCAACAGTGTTTTTTCAGAAATATAAGATGAAAATTGTGTACATGAAAGTATAATTTGCTTTTTCATCTGTGCTCTTAGCAACCATTATGAAGTGACGTTCCAGGGAGCAAGATTTTTGCACAATAGACTTTAAATTTGTCCATGGTACAGAAAACACTGTTTAAAAACAAGGTGGTTTTGCATCAGTTATTTTCTTAATTCCACAGATATGATCTTAAAATGCACAGAAATCAATTTTGGTAAACTGAAAATACATAAACCTAAAATAACCTTTTTTGCCTTCATAGTTAGACCTTCAAACCCTGCATTTCAAACACCAATGCAGGGCAATGGTGTGAAATTGTTTTGTTTTCATTGAGCAAAATATTAAGGTTGAGTTTGTTTTCTGTCCTCAGACTAGTCTAAACTACACATGGACTTCAGTCCTCTTACGGAACCCTCACAGGCCCTCAAGCCCAAGGCTGGTGCTTAAAAGAGTACCAGTACCAAACCCCCACACAGGCTCTATATCCAGATGTCACCCTGAAGCACCTATGGCTCCACCTTCAAGTTCAGCACAAAGCTTGCCTTCAAGCTCTTGTTTAAGCCTCTCCTCTTCCTCCCCAAGTCAATGCGCTTCTAATTCATCCTTAAGCTCTTCGTGTTATCTTTCAACCTTCTGCCCACCTTCATCTCCCATTCATGATGACAACTGGACTTGTGAAGTGGATGCAAATCAGTTAAAGATCATTTTCAGAAGGAAGATGATTTCAAACCCTCCACATATCACAGAGATAGACAACAAGCCTAGCGCACTGTATCCCTCTTCCACTTCTCAGGCATGTGCCAACATCCCACTGTTCACAATGGGTCAACAACCCATGTGGATCAACTTCTTATGGGCCATTGTTATTAAGCAAAGCCGTCAGCATGGCAGCTGGGAATATAGAAGACCTGCTGGGGCTGGATGGAGACTTTTATCCAAGTAGTCAATAAAAAGGCAAAAGTAATGAATCATTGATTTGAGGTGATATGTTTTCTCTTAGAGAATAAGGAATACTGATAAGAACAGTTTCTACTGAATCCCTGTCAGGGTGTTCACCTTATAGGTAACAGCCCTCTCTGAAAGTGAATAAACAAAAGGGAAATTATGTCAGACAAGAGGTACAACCTATGCAGGTTGCAGAGGTGCAACCTGCAGAGTGAAATTAGAATTAGCAAGTTTTCTTGTGGGTGTATAGTAGTGTGATTATCACCATCGCCCCAGAGCAAAAGGGATCCTGGTTTGGATTTATTTAGCATGTTTTCCCCAAGTTTGCATGGCTTCCCTGTTCAGCCAACAACAGTGTTGGCTAAACTAAACTACTTTAGGTAAAGTGCAAACTTTGAGGAGCATTTTTCTGCCCTTGTTGTGTAAACACTGCTTGTGTGTAACGTTTATTGGGTTGTTTTAAACAATATTGGTTTCTTAAAACAAAAAGACAGGGCGATGAAAATGTGCAAAACGTAATAATTAGGAAATAAATTGTACAGACTCCTGTTCCTTAATGCATAAGCATCTTCTGCTGAAAGAGGATGAAGAACAAAAACTTCAAGTGGCCCGTACGGGGATCGAACCCGCGACCTTGGCGTTATTAGCACCACGCTCTAACCAACTGAGCTAACCGGCCATGTTGCGCCGGTTTGAAAGTCCGACTTGGTCTTTGGAAAAAGTATTGTCGTAGTCTGGGTCACTGTAAAGACGGAAATCTTGTCTATAGACAAATACATTGAAAAGTATTATGTGTAAAACAAACCTTGACCAAAGCACGACGTTTTCATCTCATGTGAGCGCTACTCCTTACTAAGAACTGGCATCAGAAAGGTCTGTTGCCATAGTTACTCTGGAGCGAGGGCGAGACTGTCCACGTGACACAGCAAGATGGCGACTATAATGTAGAATGGGATGTGAATGTGAGTACTCCGTATCACTAGTAAATCGTTGAAATGATCGTACTGGCTCATACTGCTGTCGGTCACTGCATTACACCAGAAATATATTTTTTTCCAACACGAGGATGTTTTACTCTCGGTTAAACAAGTCAACTAAAGTAACGCTGAACCAGTCTGCTAACGTTAGCTCTCCCATAGTCTGATCATTTATTGTTTACCGTCACTGTGGTATTTTCCTTTTTGTCCGGTTGGTTCACAACAATCAGTGCCTGTATTTATTAACTTTGTTCTTTTGGTGTCTTTTTTCTCTCAGGATTATAAAATAAGTGGATCTGTTTTGGTGGAATTTGGATCTGGTCGTTAATTGTTCATCATCAAATCTGGTACTCAAGATGGCCTTAAATGTCTTTGGTAAGCAGCATCCCACCTCAGATAGTGGCAGTTTACATTTTACTGGGATGAATTACTGGCGTTTTTGTCTGCCTTTTCATGTGACTGAGTGGAAAGTGAACTTTTCAAAATTCTGATCACATTTGATTTTAATTTTCCTTTTCTGTTTTTGATTAAACTGTTTGAAGCCACCAGAAGTACTGCAAAACCTCTGAGGATGTGGAAGATTGTGCAAGGCACAATAAAATCCACTTTAAGAATAAGCAACAGGATTTATATTTGAGTCTACTGCATGACAAATAAGCTTATTTAATTCAATATGTACACATTGTGTACATTTGGCTTTAAGTCCAAGCCAGTGTGTCAAGAAATGTGAAATGAATTTATTTGAAAAACAAGTGTGTGACACAAAAGTGTATTAATTCTTGGGGGCTTTTTTAAGACTCAACTCTTCACAGGTTTACGTTGAATCTTTTTATGTTTGTCTGAAATGTTTTTAAAAAGGTCATACTTGGTATTTTCCTATGAGGTGATAAATTTAACTGCAACTTTAGATTATAGACTCTGAACATTAGATGCAGTGAGTTAAACAGTGCGTATGTTATGTCTTCTATCTTGTTAGTTTGTCTATCTGTGAAGCTGGGTTGCCCTGAGCGGGAGGGTGAGATACTTGCCCGGGAAGGATTTGGAGTTATTTTGAAGACAGGATACTGGAGAGACAAGTGTTGAATAGATAAGGGTTGTGGAGTGAACACAAAGTACACCAGGACAGGAAGCATGGCTCTCCTGCAGCAAGGATGGCAAAATCTGCAAGACACTGACAAAAGGATAGGTTGGGAATACATCTTTATTTGCATTGTCGATTAAATTTTTGCATTTAGACTTTGTCAGAGGGTAAAGTAAAGATGTTTTATGAAGTTTTATGTCGTGAATGGGGTGTTGCCATAATGATCGCTCATCTTCCACCTGGAAGGACTTCAGAGGAATCATAGAGGATCCTATTCAGTCAAGTCCAGCCAAACTCCAACTTGGCCGCAAATGTTTAACCAGTGGGCTGTGAAATTTCCCATATTATTGATTATTATATTTGATTGCTGTAAAGAAAAACTGTTTTATTTGTGTCCATCCACAATTAATTCAGAACTGTATACCTGAGTAGGAGCAACACTGAAGGCTTTTGTGAGTGCAGGAAAAATTTATATTGCGCAGCTTATTTCCAGCCTTTCTGTTCAGCACTTTTTTATACAGAGCAAAAAGGCTGTGTTCATTATGCCACTTTGTCACAGTTCCTGCTAATCATCCAGGAAGAAAACTAAAAGGAAAAGGTGGTAACTAAATGTGTAATGTTGTCAGATAGAGCACATATTTAGTTGTTTCTTTACATCTTCATTTGGCAAAAGTATGAATACAATTTTAGCTCTTAAATCTCCCATTTTCTTGTAAAATCCATCTCTTATGTAAAATGTCTTATTTTGTTTTTACTTGAGGATTCCATTATGTTAGAAAGCACCTATTTCTGACAGCAGAAAGAAGATGAGAGCATCTTCAACCTGCCTAAATCTAGTTGAGGAATGATGGACAAAGAGTACTGTCATCTTTTCTCCACATGGTGGCACTGTAGAAAAGGAAAACAGTTCAGAATCAGTTCAATATGCTGCACTTTTTCTGTCCTCAGATCATGACGAATACAGGCCACCTGTGTGGAAGTCCTACTGTAAGTATAACCTTATCATTTTTAATGACTGTTTTCAGTTCTAACTGTGTCATTCTGTTAACACAACTATAACTTCCTACTTCTATTACAGTCAATGATAGAAGGACACAGTTATTTGGGTTTTTTAGTGAAATGTTTCTTCTGCTAATTATGCGTTTTGTTGTCTGTCACAGTGTACCAGCTGCAGCAGGAGGCTCCTCACCCACGCAGACTGACCTGTACCTGTGAGGTGAGAGCACATTTCTGTCAGCCAGCCATTCTCTTCCCATATCTCCTGTTATCATGAAGACGTGCTGTGTTGATCGGTCTCATTGACTGGCAGCTGGACTTTCTATCCTCAACTCAAGAAAACTGATCCATCAAATATAACGATGGGAGGAAATTTTACAGCATATGTTTACTGAAAAAAAACTAATTGCACTGCAATACCCCCCAATATGTTGAGCTTATTTAAGTTCATTCTATTAGATTTAGGTCAATTTACACATATGACACTAATACTGGCCATTTTTCTACCACTCACACCAATGTGTAATTCTTCTTATGATCCTTTAAGCTGCTCGAAATAGAAGGTGGAAGTATAGAAACTGCTAATAATGTAAATATTGGAAATAGTCTAATTTATAAGCTGTGTTTAGTATTTTGAGGTATTAATTTTTTAGGTTTGATAATTGTATTAAGTCCTTTAAAAACACATTTAAACATTTTCCACTTTGTATTAGACTATTTGTAGTTCTAATAATCAGTTATTATCATTTCTTGGAAAAACATTTGCATTCCCATATGAGCACATCTAATCACAGTTTGAGGTGGTCAAGTGAGGGCATTTATTATTTGTCCATCTGGTAGTTTCCTGAAGGCACCAGCATCACTTCACCTGCCTGTTCATGCCGTGAGCGAAAGGTACCAACAGTAAATTGAGCATGAAGTTTCGCAAGAGTGTCTCCTCCTCCTCAGAGGCTTCTCAGCTTCAGTAGCTCTCAGGAGAAGGGGCAGTGCAACATGTCAGATAGTGTAGGAGTGCTCAGAGATGATGTGCTGAAGGTCACATACAAATCTAATTATGCACCACACAAGATAGCGCCACGTTCCACATTACCTTCTTTCTCTTGAAAGCATGAAAAGAGAAAATAGAGTTTAGAATTGAAAATGGTCTTAATATAAAGCAGAAGCAAAAGTAATTTTTTTCCACAAAAGGAGTTCACATTAAAGTCCAAATATGGAAGATTCAAGAAGCTTTTTTTGTCCTGGAGGAAAGTGCTGAAAAGGCACATGTTTTCAGAGCTTAATATCTAGTAAAGGTATCGGACACCTTTTTTAATTTTAGGTTCTGGTTAAGTGTTTTAAAGGTCGAGTTAGCATGGTATTGTCTCAGCCAAGGGCATGCTGATGATATAGCATGTTGCTGATGTCTGCAAAATCCCTTGCACCAGCTCATCTGTCCATATGGAAGGCAAAAACCAGATGTTTGTGTGTGTGGTGGAGGCAACACAGTTTGGGGGGAATGGAAGGGGGGATTCAAGACGTGGGGATTGTGTCTGCTGTTTTGGTAGAAAGACAGTCCTCTGTGTGTGTTCAGGAGTGGCAAACGAGCAGCTGTTAGCTTTGATGCCTCGGCTTTGGTGTGGTGGTCATTGCTGACCCAGTAAAAGTCAGCAGACAGGCAGCAGACGGAGTGAAGACTCCCCCTGTCCAATTGGCTGCACCGTGGTGTCTGCCAGGAGTTTAGCCAAAGGAGTTTTAATGATGCACCAATAAGCATTTTTCCACAGCTGGTACATTTTCTTTTATGGCCTTAAAGAGTGTCATCAAGTTGGGGAGAATGTCCTCTAACCAGGGGACCTGAAGAAACACTGTGACACTAACACATCTAAGGAATGCAGATTCTTTTTGGGCTTCTTTTCGCTTTCCATAGTAGCATTGTGTTGGAGCATTTTTTTTTATTTCAAAACAATGTCAAATATCCTTTAATGAAAATTTAAATTCCTGTAAAAAATGCCCATATGAGCACTTAATGGAATTAGTTCTTTTTTGGACGCTGGATTTGACATAGTTCAATGTTTAGATTGTAAAATAGATGTGGTCTCAGACATCATATTCTTAGAAATGCTTATTTTAGTTTCTTCTCATCCCAGAGCTGTTTGTCAAGTTTAGATTTCTCCAAGTATACCAGAAAACTTTAACTGAAGTAACTTCAATCTCTGTTTTTTTACAGACAATAAGTTTAGAAAAAAATGTCTAATGCAAAAAGTTAAAAAACTTGCCAAATGAACTAAGAGGGATCTCCTCCCCAGTTTGCTTTCAGGCTCCTCTCAGAAACTTTAAAATAGGAACAAAAGAATCCCATTTCCCTCAACTCAACTTTATTGTATAATTCTTTTCAAAAGATACAGCTCATGCTGCAGGGACTGAGACTTTTTCTGTTTCAAAATTCCCTTCCCTTCTAGTAGGCACTCTACAATGTGCAGTCAAGGATGTCTGTGGAACATTAGAAATGGGTTTCCTGACTAGCCTTAGAGCATTTCAGCTGGGTGTCCGGAGGTGTGAGTGCATGACTGACGGCAGACAGGATGCTTGTACCCCATCTGCTCATAAACTAGCATGGTACCTTTTTTTAACATTTACATTACTTTTTTTTTAACCCATAATGCATTTTATTTAACTTCACTTCAAAGAATACTGTTCTACTCACAATCCTCCTTGTGCCCTACATATGTTTGCAAACCTGTGCTGTAGACACACACACACACACACACACACAGCATCCAAATTAATATTCGCAGCTGTTTGGGAGGTCTGTGTTGATTTATTGGCGCAACAGCAGTTTTGTTGGGAACAACACTCTGTTCAGTCTTTCTATCTGACTCATGTAGTTTTCTCTGCACCCACACACCCACAAACACAGTGAGTGTTAAGCAAGGTGTACGTCCAAGTCTCAAAAATGGGCCGTTTGTAGAGTCATTGAAGCTACTGGCAGTTCAGACACTGTCTCTCTTCTCACTGTGACTTTGGCATTGATATGAAGTCAGCCACATCAATATTAATATTCGAACTTTCATCGAGATCCTGATTCTACATTTTCTTTTTCTACAGGTGGAAAATCGACCTAAATATTATGGTAGAGAGTAAGTAGCCTTTCTCTGTATTAGTACTGATAAAGGAAGTGTTTTGTCAGTCTTTTCATCACTGCTTAGGCCGACTGATATTTTTCTTAATGAAAACAAATTAGACTCTTTCCTTTGTTTTTTGCTTTTACTTCCAGATACCATGGGATGATCTCCAGAGAGGACGCTGACCTGTTACTCAGTCAGGCTGAAGGCAGCTACCTCATCAGAGAGAGTCAGAGACAGCCGGGAACATACACATTAGCTTTAAGGTGCGTTTGTGCCTGTCTGATTTGAGGATATTCATATCTCTTATCTCCACAAGGTTCTGTGTTGTGGTAGATAAAATTCCTTTTTTTATCAATAGCATTTGTTGGGTTTGAAGAGATCTTTTTAATTTGACGTTATTGTATTTGGCTTATATGTGAATAAAATAGAATATTGAATGAAATGGCCACCGCCACATTTTTGAGGTTACAGAACCTGATGGATGTCAGAAATAAGGGCTACATATATGTGTCAGCTGTGATCTGTTGAAGATGAAAACCATTCCAAATCACACTTGAAAAAAAGAATAAATACGCTAGTTTTAGCTGGCACTCTGACCCCGTGTTCGACCTGTCGTTTGCCCTCCACGCCTGCCCCTGTATAGCTGTGCGACGCATGTCTAATTAGTGTACACACACTGATGTGTGAGAGGTTTATCCTTCTACTATTGGCAGAAGTCAAACGGCGCCGCTCAGTGGAGTCTCGTCTTGATTAACATTGCAGGGGCTGGTGGTAAACGTTGGCAGTTTGTTTAGTAATAGAAAAGGATTGTGTTCTTTTCAGCTCTGTGTAAGACTGTTGCGTTTCTCTCAGTTTCCCCAGAGCGCTCTGTCACTCAGTTTTTATTTATGTCAGCAGTGACTTTTACTTGAATGTGAGCAATCATTTTCTCTGAGTAGGTGTCACACTTTTAAATGGGCACATGACTTCATTTGAATTTAGTTTCAGGTCAGTTGGTCTATTCATAGTCGTGTCATTCTTCCACCTGCACAACTTTCTCCCCCTTGTATTGCCTCTCGTCTCTCTGTGGTTATAATTACCTTCCATAAATACCCTTCATAAACTAGTGTCCCAGTCTGGGTGGCAGAAAAAGAAAGGTTGGATTTTGGGTTAATGATTTACTAGTGCAGTTTCAAATCTTTCATAGATTTCACTGTGATCCACAAAGGAGCAGATGGTGTGTTGGCCCACTTGTCTGTTATAGTTTGTTCCATTTTTACTCTGCCTTTACTTCATAATCGTAAACTTTGTTTTCTTTGAGTTTAGAGTAAGATAAATACAACTGACAAACATAAATTCTAATTCCTGATTGAGACTGTTGATTATTATCCTCGATGGATTTTTGCTTTTTAATTAAATATTTTCAGTTTTTAACCCGATGTTTTGTTGGGTGTCACGCTGAAAATGAGCTTAAGCAGACTGCTTTTGTTCCTTTTGTAGATCAAGTCGATATCTGCGAAAAATTATTTTTGGCCACTTAATATTTCTGAAGCCACTGAACACATTATCACAGGTTTGGGAACCAGACGAAGAACTTCCGTCTGTACCATGACGGGAAGCACTTTGTTGGAGAGAAGAGGTTCGAGTCCATCCACGACCTGGTGACCGACGGCCTCATCACGCTCTACATTGAGACAAAGGTATGCTTGTGTGCTTACGGATCAGTCCGAGTTCCCTCTGCCGTCACATTTACTTTGACCCTGTCCTCTGTCAGGCTGCAGAGTACATCGCAAAGATGACTATAAACCCCATCTACGAACACGTGGGCTACACCACCCTCAACCAGGAGCCCACCCTGAAAAAACATCTGCCTCACAGCCCACAGGTGCCTGACGGACCCGCACCAGCCAAAGATGACTGCAACACAGAGGAGAGGGTGAGGACATTCAGAGGCTGTGCACAGGCCACAGAGCATCTACATGTCAGGTTTATATGTCAGGTTGTTTTACTCCTCATTCTCCACTAAATATTCTGAAGAATCCTTGTCATTTAGAAATTATGGGATTTTACCACCATCTGTGTGGCTTCCTAAATTAAAAACATCAGAACATGTTTGTGATATAGCCTCCTGCCAGCCATTCTAAACCAAATGGATTAAATATTCAGATTTTTTTTTTTTTAACAAACTCTCCCACGTCTTGTGGAAGATTGCAATCTGTGGAGCACAAGCCACTCCGAAATGTAAAGCAGGACTGAGATGTGCCTGAGGTTTCGAGATAAACTGATCCAGAGGAGGGGGACACTGTGCAGTAGTATGCAAAAATAGACCAGTCACATAAAAAAACATTACAGATACCTTTTTCCATTAAGCCCTCAAAGGAATGAGTCATTTGTTTGTGGGAATTGTGTGGAGGCAACTTTTAGCATTTGATGTGTTTAGTCACTGGGCTGTAGCTGCATAAATAAACAGAATGTAACACATCGAACACAGTACTTTTAGAATGTGTCCAGAAAATGTGCAAGATCTATAAACTTTGTGAATTTAGAGCATTTGGAAAGTGGACCCTGTAAATCATGGTATGAGCATTTAAAGTAATTCAGGATCCCTCTAGAGAATTCAGATTACCGTAAAGGTGGGGACGGATTCTATAAATGCAGCGGTAGGATGAAGGATCAGAGTTGAGGAACGTGGTGAAAGAACGAGGAGGAGGATGCGGAGGAGCGATGGCCTTCAGCCAAGGGCTCTGCAGTAAAATTACATAACAGCAGTGTGCCTGCAGAAAGCTGCTATATCTGAAAAAAATGTCTACTAAGTATTCATGATTTAAGTTTGTTGCCAGCTCATTAATTTTCATTCAGCTGTGAACTAATTAGAGTTTAATCCAGAGATGGACACAAAACTTTTGTCAAGCCAAAGTGATAAAATGTGCAGTTGGAAGATACAGTTAACTCAACTCGGATGCTCATTAACTTCAGTTGTGTACTGCAGCAGGAAATGAGTGCATGCAAAGCCCTCAGATTCATGTGTGTGTTTTACTATTTAGTACAATAGAATCCAGTTTTCACACATTAAAGCTGCTGTATTCCATTTCAACTCCACTGCTGAGGCTCCTGAGGCCTTGTGTGACCTGCGGTGCATGACCACATCCACTGCACCTCATACATCACTGTCTCTGTGTGTGCATGTGAGTAGGAGGGGTTGTCGTGTGTACGTGTGTGCTTTTGTAATTATGTGGATTTGCAGACAAAGCAATGTGCGGCTGCGACACACACACAGCAGAGGTATCTCTCTGCAGGGAAGACAAACCCACAAGGAATATCATGTTTCATGGTGTTTAGGCACCTAACCACTTTACATGTAGGGTTAAAAGTGCTTATAAGGCCTCTGTTAGGGTCATAAGGCAGTGCTCTGAGAAATTATTAAAAATTCATTTCAAGGCCCATATGAGATTGCTCTCACTTGATTGTGAGGAGAGTTGTGGGAATAAAAAAATCATTAAAAGATGATTTCTCCATCAGTAAACAAGCTTGCACACTACGCTGTTTGTCCTGTTTTTCTATTGTTGTGCGACTCACCACCTCCCCCATCATTCCTCAATCCACAATTAGTCCAACATACTCTCTATTTAATTCATAATAACTGTGCTGTTGACAGTTTTAGAAGTTTTAAAGGTTAAAAAATAGTTTGAGAATACTTTTGCAAAATTGTTTTTGTAATGACAACTTAAAGGTTATTGATCTCTTGATGGACATTAATGCACCCTTTGTGTGTTGAGTGTGTCTTTTGCTAAAATATGAAACAAAATCAACATATATAAAAAATCAAAGACCACCTGAGGCAGCGCTTAACACACGTGCTTACTCTGAATGTTGTTATGTAACAGAACAACTCCACTTAAAGTGGTGCTTTTTTAGTGTTCAGGTGTCATTAAAACTAGGAAGACACGGCTGAAGAATAGAAGGAAGCTGGAGGTAAAAAAACAAAACAAAAGGATGGACGGAAACAAAAAATGAGCAAAAAGTGTGCAGGAACGGTTAAAATTACTGTTTGTTTCGCAGCTCTTTCTCCGTTCCTCCTAGGAAAATTGGGGTGGCAGAATTGGTGGCGAACAACAAGAGCCGCTGCTTCCTGATTGGCTCATTCCCCTCTTATTGTGACCTGTTAAATTCATCCATTACCGCTCTGTAGCCCAACCTCCCCCTCTTCTGTTTCTCTACGCTTCTATCCCTCCTTCTCTCCCTCCGTGCGTCTCCCCTCCCCTTCCTCAGACTGGTGGATGTGTAGAGGATGAGGGAAGCAGATTAACACACACAGAACCATGTGGGTTGCAGCGCATAGCTAAACGGCAGACAGGATTCATCCACCATCCAACAATTGAAGAGTTCTTCATTGAAGTTATTGATCTCAGCCTAAATTGGCTTTATTTTTCTTTTTGTGTTTTTTTTTTTATTTATTTGAAAGTGGAGTCTCGCCATGCTGCCCCATCACTGGGCTGCACTTGTCTGATTGGCTGGTCTTTGTTGGACTGAAACAGCAGGATTGGTCACATGCCGGTGTCTCGGTTTGGGATATTATTTTTTGATGGAAATTTGAGACTCTAATCTTTGTTGTTCTAATTGACGACTTTGGAAACTGTTTTTTAAGACTTTCTATTTTTTGTTTTTATTTCCTTGGCAGCCTGTTTTCATTACCGTGTTTGTTGATGGGGCACAGATTTGAAATATAAAAAAATCAATCTTTCTGGCTCTACAATGCCGAGCAGAGAGTCATATGTCATGAAAAAAGGTAAAAAGCAGCCACGAAGGGCAGCTAAGAAGGAAATGAGTCAGAAGGGCTCTTTGATTACTGCTGCTCTCTGTTTGAAAGCGAGCACCGGTTCAATCCCCTCCCTGCCCGTCTCCAGTGGCTCCTCAGACACCAGTACACGCTCCAGAGTCCATCTCAGCCGGGTGCCAACCCCCACCAAACCCTCCTCCCCTGCTTCCACCTTCTGGCAACCAATCCGATCTTTTGCCCTTTCCCAGCTCACATCGCTGGTGCGGCGGGCCACCCTGAGGGAGAGCGACTTGGCGCCGAAGTACGAGAAGGTCCACAACTTCAAGGTGAGCAGCCATTCCACTTTCGTGAAGGCTTGTGTGTATGTGTGAGTGTCAGAGAGTGAAATGTGCTGTCAGAAATGCTGATTCAGCTCAAGAGGTTTCATTCAGATTCACCTCAGAGAGCAGAAGCCCACAAACACACACTTGTGCATGTCTTACCATTCATGATTTTCCAAAGTACATGCAGCTGTTAGTCAAGATTGGAAAGGTCAGACCTCCATTGTCAAGAGCTCAAGAGAAATCTGGACGTTTGCAAAACAAACGGACACACACTCAAAAAAACCCTATGAGTGACAGGAGGTTATTATCATTTCATTACATTGTGCCAACTGGTGCAGCAAATGAGCTGAATTTAACACTGTTACCACTATAGTTTCTCTTCAGGTACCTCTGAAGCACTCCTATTGTGTTTTTATCAGTGCCTGTGGGTTTGTATTAAAGATTACTTCTGGGGTTTAAATTTACTCGACCCAATCCGCCTTCTCTGAAGGTCTCAGTGCACCCTCTCCAGGTGTAGAACTGTTGAGCGTAACATGTGGACACATTTAAGCGTTGCACTTTTCTGATTATGATTCATGATAATGTGGAAGTTTTAATTTGAGATCATCTGTCCTCTCTGCCTCTGCATTTTTAACCAGGTTCATACATTTCGGGGCCCCCACTGGTGTGAGTACTGTGCCAACTTCATGTGGGGTCTCATCGCTCAGGGTGTGAAATGTGCAGGTATTGACAATAACACACACATCACTGTATAGTATACATGTAATCCTTTTTAAAAGCATCAATTTTCTTCAAACTGTTCGTGCTTTAACCGTCCTCTTCAATTGCCTGTGTGACGTGTTGTGCCCCCCCCCCTCTTTTAATCTGGGACATAAAGCTAGAGTTAGTCACTTTGCTGTTGACTCATCTGCAGTGTGTTGAAATGTGAAGAATCTGCTCTGTGCCAAAGAACATTGTGATCTCCGCGGTGTGTGGGCGCCCCCGAAAAGCCCACGTATAAATCCATCTGTAATTATGACTAACTTACAGACAGAAACTCTGAAAAACAATTTTGAATGCTGCCACATTTTTGTAAATACCCCTAAAGACACATAAAGGACAAGTTTTCAGGCTAAATTGATTTCAAACAATCTGTTTTTCCCCTGTCAGACTGTGGGCTGAACGTTCATAAGCAGTGCTCCAAAGTCGTACCCAACGATTGCCAGCCGGACCTTCGACACGTCAAGAAGGTGTACAGCTGTGATCTCACCACGCTGGTGAAAGCCCACAACACCAAGAGGCCGATGGTGGTTGACATGTGCATACAGGAGATCGAAGCAAGAGGTGAGGCAAAGAAAGCTAGGGTGTAAATGTGAGTCAGTGGTTATATAATTTAGATGGAAAAAAAAGAAACCTAAGTATTGTTTGCTCAGAGGAGAAAAGAGAGAACACCCACACAGCTGGTGCGTTTGGAAGGTTTAAGTGACAAACTGAGAGCGCGTGGATGCTTCTTATCGATTAAAAGGCAGACACAAACAGACAAAATCCAATGTGTGTTGAGTGACAGAGCCATGGTTTTCCCCCCAGAGGGTTTGAGTGGTCACAGGGGAGCCGCCACAGAGCCGGCTTTATTGACTGATTGAAAATCTGACCGAAACTGGTACAGAAGATCAATTAAATGCCACACTTGACATGATTGAACGTGACTCGAGAAAGACAGGCAACTGAAGTAATTCACCAGCCTGTCTTTTCTTTTTATCTGCTCATCAATCATTGTTTCATTCTACCTCTTCTCCAGTTGGTCTATTTTTAATGGAAGTAAAGGCATACATCTACAGAGACGGCTCATTTATAAAATTCTGAATCTGGATTTTGGATTGATTATAAATACTTCCAATTAGCGTCGCCACTCAGCTGGTGAAAAATTTGATGTCTATCCTTCTGACATTTTTTGGTAATTCTACAATAAATCAATCTGACCATAACTATTATAGACATGATCTTTCTGAAATGCATTTTACCTGTACAGCATTACTCATGAAGTCCCAGTCAAACTCAGCATTAGCTGTCCGGATTGAGGGGAGTTATACAATTTTTTTTACGACTGACAGTCTTTGACAAGAAAGTGGGATTAGTTTGACAACCGTGTATAAATCAGGTTGATTTTTTACATTTCCAGGCACTAAGTCGTCTCTTAGAAACGTGATGAGATTCAATTAATATTGTTATTATCTTTAAATGGTGTAATAAATTATGATATAATTATGCTGAAATTAAACAAACTAAAAGCACATTAATGAAAGGCTGATTCCAAAACTTCCAGGTGTTCAGTCGGAGGGGTTGTACAGAATTTCAGGCTTCAGTGAGCTCATAGAGGATGTCAAGCTAGCCTTTGACAGAGGTGAGTATCACTCCTTGTTGCTCCTGAAATCCTGCTTTTAGCGCTTTAAAATAAAATAGCTGATTTGATGTTGTGAACTGACTTCCTGCTAAGATGGAGAAAAAGCAGACATATCCTCAAATGCTTACGAAGACATCAACATCATCACTGGAGCCCTCAAGCTTTACTTCAGAGACCTGCCCATTCCTCTCATCACATATGATGCCTACCCACGCTTCATCGAGACTGCAAGTAGGTGCTCACATTTTCTCCAGGTTCAGTGTTGCATGCAACTCTAACAACATTTTATGGTATCCTGTAAGGTCCATTATCAAACTGCAGGGAAATCGATAATTACAGATGAACAACTGAATATTTCTTGCTTGTGTCGAAGAAATTACAGACGCAGAAAAACGTCTGGAGTCTCTCCATGAGGCCTTGAAGCTGCTGCCCCCAGCTCACTGCGAGACTCTGCGATACCTCATGGCTCACCTGAAAAGGTCTGAACACACAACCTGTTCCTCGATCTCATCTCATGCCACAGCTGATGCTGAATCCTTTGTCATTTATACTCTGTTGTGGCTCGCTCTGTCCTCTCTGTTTCACATACCTCTTCTCCTGTACCTCTAGGGTCACTGAATATGAGAAGGAGAACCTCATGTCCAGCGAGAACCTCGGCATCGTCTTCGGCCCGACACTGATGAGGGCCCCCGAGCTGGATGCCATGACAGCGCTCAATGATATCCGTTACCAGAGACTGGTTGTGGAAACGCTCATCACCAATGAAGACGTGCTATTCTAAGAGAATTCACTGGAAACTATTCTTCCAATGAGGAAAAATCTCAGACGCTTGAATGCTTTGTAATCATGTAAAAAGATGAAGGAGACATGCAAAGTATCTGGGACTTGTATCTTGCATGTTTTTATGTGGACTGGATAAAAATGTAGAAATGAAGAAAAAGACTATTTGCAAAGAATGAAGTCTTTAAAAAGTTGAGGAAACTGGAGGAAATAAGGAGATGGAAATGCTGTTTCTTTCAGATTTTAAGACTTAAAGATCCCAGATGTATAGTGAAATTTCAAAGCCGAAGCACCTAAAACTCAGAATCCTGCTTGATAGAAATTAAAAATAAGCTATGGGAGAAGACTTCTTTCCCTGTGTATGGTAAACACTGTGGAGTCCATCTTTTCTTCTTTAAATGGATACCTTGACCTTTCTTGCTGAAGACTAAAATCCACTTTTCTTAAATAATCCCATGGAAAGAAATTAGTAAAATATTTGCTTTCACCTATTTACATGTTTTTTAAAAATGTAGTTATTGAGTAATTAACTGCTATTGGAAACATTTTGGAGTCGTTTGGCCAAATGCTTTTTCCACATAAATATGATCAAAGTTTATTGCAAGAGAACATCTTTTCTATTTTAACAGGAACTTTAAAATTGCTTTTCCCTAAGGTCAAGATATCCATTTAATCCTCCTCTGAAGGAGCAGACAGCAGGATGAATGAACGAAAGAAACAACCTCACCTATTGCTTACACTCATTTCCTCAGAAGTGAGTTGGACCTATTGTTTTTCTCATTCCTATTTCCTTGCTTTTCAGCGCCCTCTGCTGTCCATCATGTGAAATGTAACTGCACAGCAACATATTGGCCACCTTTGGCAATGCAGAGGTGTTTGTTTAGAATAGCAAACAAAAATAATTCCCTTTTCCCTTAAGTTGTAACTTTATGATTAATTTAGTTTGTTTTTCTCAGTTTTCTTGCTATGTTTTTACCCTTACTGATGGATCCCTTTTGTGGTACCTCTCCTGCCTGCTGTGCCTGGGTTTAAAGTTCTGGCATAAGATACTTAAAAGGTGGGACTATATGCAAAGTATCTGGTCACTTAATGCTGTTTCTTCAGTAAACAAAACTGTTCAACATAAATGTTAAAAAGCAGAGAACATGTTTCTATTAGACATCCTGTGCAGACAAGACATGCTGTATTTGTATTTGTTTCCAGCACCATGGCCAGGTGAGGAGGAGAGGAATGTGTCTTATATGTGTTATTTATCTTTTGGGTTTCTTCTGTATAAAGCAGTATTGTTATTACTCTGTATTCAAGCAGTGGTCAGAACTAACTGAGTTCTTTTGACAGCTTGTCTGGCTGCAGTTAAGCAGATGAGACACCAATAACTAGTAGACTTGTGTGTTTTTTAGGCAAACGCAGTGGTGGGAAACAGGACACATCTACAATATGAGTTGGCCTCAGATGGTTGTGTTTAATCTAACTGTGAAACTCTGGAAACTAACTATGGTTACAAGTGAAGACAGTTTTTGTTGTGTAACTTTGTTTTCCCCTTTAATCTCTGCCGTTTAGAGGACATATATGTCTGTGCAATGTAATGCCCCTCAGCTGGCAGATGGTTCCACATGCTGTAATGCTTTGATGACACACCAATGTGACGAAGTCAGTATTACTACTAAGATGATATTGATAATCATCATATTATGAAGGAGTGAATTTGACCCCCGCCTCCCGTTATGTAAAAGCTAGTGCCATTTGATGGGATTGTTGTATTGAAAGGATGCCTTGTTATTGTCAGCTAAAAACAAACACACATTAAATTGCTTCTTTTATGTATTTCCACCCCCATTTTTGTCGGGGGTCACTGATTAACTTAAGGTTGCGATGACTGACCCTTTCCTAAGGCAGAAGCAGAACTAGTAGAAATTAAACACAAACCTTAAACTGGATGTAACAGGAAAGGAGCATCAGCATTTTGCTAACAAACGTCATGTTTTAGGTATTCTTGAGTTCTTGTCCTAAACATTCTTTTAACTTGTATGAACAGTCATACTAATGACAACCTGTTAGCTTTTAGTGACATCTGATACTTGCTTCTTAAGCGTCATTCTTTTTTTTTTCACTGTCATTGCTGTAAACATTTTCTATAAGGATTATGCATGGTGGGATTAAATTATTAAATATTGCTTTCAGTTAATGGTCTGAATCTAGTGTACCATCCTTTGAATTCATGTGTGCATTTTACAACATGTTTTGGGACAGTTTGTCATTTATTGTCATTGATCAACCCTTACTACAATCCATGATTTCAGGCCTCGTTGGCGCAGTAGGCAGCGCGTCAGTCTCATAATCTGAAGGTCGTGAGTTCGAGCCTCACACGGGGCAGATATTTTACATTTCTGCCAATTTATTCGGATTTGCTGGAACATTATTTCTATCAGACTCCCAATCTGACATTTAATTTCAGTGCATCCCTTCCAAGATCCCACAAAAACAATCAAAACGACACGGTACAGACATGTACGGGTATCAATGATAGTCACTGACTTTCAAGCTCCGGCAGCCCGGCTAGCTCAGTCGGTAGAGCATGAGACTCTTAATCTCAGGGTCGTGGGTTCGAGCCCCACGTTGGGCGACTGCAACTTTTACTTTTTAAATTTTATGTCATTGGATTTCTTATTTCCAGAGGAAAATATGTCAGCTCAAAAAGTCTGATTGGTCACCTACCGTGAAAACCTTTTTTTTCCATGCATTGGTGGTTCAGTGGTAGAATTCTCTCAGTTTGCACTTGTCAGGTTGTGACACCTCTGGCATCAACCCTGCCTGTTGACCGAGAAGCATGAGAAAAAAAAACATCACCGGGAGTAACCGTGCAAGCATTGGTGGTTCAGTGGTAGAATTCTCGCCTGCCACGCGGGAGG